AGCTGTAGCTTCACTGCTCATTCTGCCTACAGACAGTACAAATCCCTTGAATTTTCATGACAGCAAACCTTCTGCAAAGACTGCAGAAGCAGTCTTGGAAATGGAGAGCACTTCTTCCTTAGAGTCATCATTTTGTCGAGTCAAGAATATTGGTTGTCATTCTGAGCTAAACTTTCCAGTCTCTATAAGGTAAAGACCAAATTCAAATGAAGGCAGATCGTTCCCCAGGACAGATATTCAGATCCAAATAAAAGATTATTTACTTCCACAAAGAATTTGAAAAATCCTGTTCTGTATTCTTTGTGGACATTACATCAGATTATGGCAGAATTTTTGAAGGATAAGTGTTTGTTGAAGTTACCAAGACCATACGAGTTCTCTAAGCATGCCTATTTACTTAAAAGGATGTGGATTATGCCCCAAAGTAACCTTTTGTAAATAAACTAGGCTCCCTTTATTTCATTACCGTAATTATTCAGGACAGGACATGTTGTCTTGAGATGGAAGAATTACTTACCTAAGAGTTGGGCACCCTGTTATATTGGTTTCAATCTATACCACATTTCATTGGGTTTTTCAGCAGAAAAGTGAAGGTAAGAGAAGAATGAGTATGATGCACAGAAAGTAAAACAGGTTCACCCATTTCCTGGTTATAGTTATGAAATGTGGTACAATTGTGCATAATCACTGGTACAATTCTTAGCACACTTTGCTAGAGGCTGGCTAGACTTTGCATCTGCATAGAAATTAAGATGCAAATATGAGTTCTGTTCATTGGTATGGTTAGTGTAAACAGAGGATATTTCTATTGTATATTTAAGGTTGAGAAACCTATTTCATGAACAGCATGTTATCAGCAAACACTTCGCAGTTATTAAGTAACTGCAGAAGGATGTGGTCAAGTCAACGATGGGTAAGGAAAAATGGATATATGAAGAGTACAGTTGCCAGTTGTATTCAGAAATTGTAGTTTTCTCCATCTGGAAAAACTGCAATAATTCTCTGTGTATTCCTGAGTTTTAAAGCAAAAAGAAATATGGGTTGGGACAGGAAGGGAAGAGGGGATGAAGTCCAGGTGGTTGTTTTAGGGTAAAGAATGCAGAAAAGTCGAAGCAAAATGGATGATTTAATTTCTCATCATTATTCTACTGAAGAATTAAATTTGCAAGGTCATGTCGAGGCATATTCAGTCAGAGACGTATCAGTGAAGGTAACGGGATTCAGATGAGTTCCCATCCAAGAGATATTTAAAGAAGCAGCTTTTCTCTAAATACATGTACAAATCAGCGTTGTCTCGACTCACGTTGCATATTAAACCAAAGCTCAGCCTCCTGCAGCTGAAGGACCTTATTTTTGTTCTTATCAAAAAAACTGACCCAAGTTCTGAAATCCGCCTTCCCACATTTACTTTGCAAGATATCGCCGCATTTCATTTATGGCTTTCATGCACTTCATTCCTTTGTTTCATTTTAAAATTCTCTGCCCATACCTGTAACAGCAAAAATTCGCTTTCTGCACTTCCCATGCCTCACTAATAAATAATCCTGGTAGAACAGACATGAAGAAATATTGGTTCTCTGCATCAGGCCCATGCATTTTTTTGAACATATCAGATGAGTACTTCCTCTAATTCATGCATTTAATAAACAGCTGTATTTCAGGTGTGTTGCAATTGAATATGGGAAGAACAATTCAGAACATGTAAGAAAGGAAAGAAAGGGAATAGAATTACCACAGAAAAATTCTTACAGGATAATTTTTGAAAAGTCTAAACTAAATTATTTCTGGAGTGAATACGTTTTCCCTATTAATATTCACCTTTTTATTAACTTTCTTGAACTTGACACTGAATTGCAAAGATATCATTTTAGATCTTTTAAACTACTTTAGAAATATGTGTCAGCTGTTTCTGATTGAATTTATTATTAACAGCTGGCAGCCTTGGCTTTAGGAATCCAACTGTGATACATAAAAATGATATTTCAGGTTTTTCTTTTAACCAAATCTGTAATTCGCAGCGTCTTAAATGATTCAATTCTTCCTTTTTTTTTTTCTTTTCTATTTTTTCCTTTTTTTTCTTTTTTTTTTTTCTAACAAGTGCTGGGAAACAAGCAGCCCAGGTACCAGCAATATGCAGTACCCAGATTTTTAGCTTCCTTATCTTCTGTCACAGGGAGTCAGACTTCAAACCTGAATTCAGATTAGCCTATGAATGAGAAACAGAAGCCAAGTAATGCTGAAATAGGCAGAAGTGGAGGTATCAGTAAGCTTTGTTCCTCTGTAACATCTCCTACTATGCCCTCATATGGTTAAAACCACATACAGCCTTGGGATGTTTGGTCAAAAATAATAAGTAAGCATGACAAAAGTGTGGCCACTTCTGTAACGGGGCAGAAAAGATCCCAACTTTTCTTACCCAACAATCCAAATGTTCAAAACTTCAGGTCTGATCATTGGGGAAACATCTGGGAAGGTGCTGCAGTCTTCAGCATGAACTCTTTCAAGTTCCATAAGCTTCAAGGGCTTTTATTTTTTATTTTATTTTTATTTTTATTTAGAAATGTGAATTTCTGTCATGTGCCCTACATAGCTAGCTTCCCCCTAGATCTGTCACTACATCAATGTGCAGAAATATTTGCCGCTTTCTGGAAAG